TCTAAAAGCTTCTGAAGTTACAAGAACACACGGCATTGTTCGTTAGGACAATCGCTGCTGGCAGAATGCAAACCTTGAGTTAAACCATGCTGCAAATTGATCTTGACATTCTGTTAAGAAAGCCACTAAAATCAAAAGCAAAGGAGAAAAGGAGAAAATGAGCGGGTGGGATGTAATCATGGAACAGAAGGGTTCCCTCCTCACCTTCTTTCCTCTTCCTCCTCAAAACAAACCATACAGAAAATGACGAACTCGTCTGGTGTTTGAGAACCTTTATTTTTAAAACATTAATTAGACTTTTGACCTGTTTTTATTGACTGGCACTGTATTGCTATTCAAGTAAATTAAATAAAATATTGCAAAATACAATAGAAAAGGTTTTCACACTGCTCTGTGAAACCTGTTAAGGATTTAGTGCCCAAAGAACACGTCCAACAGTTTTGCAAGCAACATATACAGAATCTACGGTCACTCCTGAAGAGGCAGGGAGAAATTAACTCACCAAGTCCAGCTCTCACAGACCCCACACCTGCAATATATTTGCTGAAGGATCAAATAGGATTGGGGAGCTGGAGTAATATGGTCAACTGGTCTTCATCCAGGCATGCATCATTCAGTAGGTTAGTATTAAGGGTCAGCAACTGTGAATATGGCTAATTACTTGATGACGGAAATTGCAGGTGAAGACAACCTGCTGCTGAGAAGCACTTTAGTCAATTAACTCTTTCCTAAGCTTAAGCAAAGTGAAAAACTATCATTTGAACATTAAAACTAACAAGTACCTGTCATCAGAGCTGAGAGGAGTTGGCAACACCTTGAAATACAGCGCCCAAGGGCAATGATATCAAAAGCTAAAAAGCTGCTACAGACATTTGAGTCACTGTTTTATGGTTTTGGCATTGCTTTGCTTGGCAAACATGTACATTGGAAATCTGTTAATATTATGCATAATCTATGTTTGTAAATGCTGTGTGTACAAACACAAGGGTATGTGTGCATGTGCAGGTATATATGTATGTATATATATTCACTATATAGCTGTCCTGGATACAAATATATTATATTAATGTATATTAATGAATTAACAAAAATAGTTAGGCATGTGCTTGCATACGTATGTATATATAGATACACACCTCCCATACGCATGCACATAATTATATTAGAATAATGGTATTTAGTCAACTCTTTGAAGTCAGAAAGTGCCAGAACTATAGCTGCTCATGTCTGGCTCGCCTGCTTATCTAATCCCATAACCTCTCTGGAAACCTGAGGAATTGCTTAGCCTATGCGATGGCCCAACGCAGCTGGTGAGCTGCTGCAGCCACATGCTCGGACCAAAAGGTAGGGCCAGAATTGTCAACACCACTGCTACTGCCCTGACACTTCCCATAAGCATATTTCTGCTGTTCGGAGTGGCATGCTAGCAAATCTCCATAGCAAGCAAAGGAAAGGAAACAGTGATTTTTTTTAAGCTCATGATTCACCCCAAATTGAATGGAATATAACAACAAAGTAAAAGATATACCTGTAGCTTTGTGGGTTTTTTCCCTCCTTTGACCATGGATAACATAAGTGGTTGACTCCGCTACGCTAACACGTTTAAGACTCAGCTGGACATGGTGCTGGGCCATCTCATCTAGATTGTGCTAGAAAGGTTGGACCAGATGATCCTTGAGGTCCCTCCCAACCTGGTATTCTATGATTCTATGATAAATTACAAGAATATTCCAAAAAGTTGCTCACTAAACTAAAGTCTAAACTACAGGTGATAAAGCTTTCACATAGATTCCTTAACAGTATTATAAAACCACCACGTTATTTTCCTAAATGAAGGCTAATTATTTTATTATATTATTTTGTCCCTTTTAGAATGCTTTTTTTTATTCTAGTAATGAAAAGATTCATAATTTGCAGCACTTATCCAAAGTAATTGCTCCCTTTCCTGCAAACCTTATGTCAGAGGCAATTAAAAGCTGTGGAAGCCAAAACAAACATCCTATTAACTGTACTAACTAGAGTTCTCCTTCAGTTTGACAAAGTAACAGTCCGGGATGTGTGTAGTTAGAAATTTTTAAAAATCTGACTCCCAAAGTCGTAATGCTTATGCTTTTGCACTACTGCTAACAGTTACCCTGGCGCTTGCACACAGCGTTTTACTTCCAGTCCTACCTACAGAACATTCTTCACTCTATTGCAATGGGTGTTGAAGAACAAGATTTAGAGATTCCAGCTGAAAAGTGCTAGTGTACAGTAACGCAGGATTCAAAGCACATCCCTACATCAGTGTCAACCGAGAAACATACTAAAAATCAGGAAAAATGACAAGGTTTTGGAGCTGTTTTTGTTCTGCAGTGTTCAGGACAGACCCCCGTTTCATTCATGAGAAAAAAGGAAACTACTATTAAGACTGGTTTTGGAACAGAATGATATCCATAGATGTCAGAAAGAGGAAAGCAAAGAGCAAGAAAAATATCAGAATACTGAAGATTTTTTGGCTTATGTGAGGAAAGTATTTCTATCTGTTTGAATTTATTCATGCCATGCCACAGTACTGAAAACCTGTCTTTTACTACTGACATTGAGGTGTCCCTATTGATTGCTGTAAATAAAGTGGGCCTGATTCCTCTGCCTTCCCACCCTGGCTTTTCCGCTAATACAATTGTAACTGCACAAATAAGTTGCTCTGGGGCTACAATGGTATGCAAAAAGCAGTTCCTTCTGTTGTTGCTGTTGTCCTCTCACCATTCAAATAAAAAGCTATGTGCAACTGTATTCATAGGGATACAGAACAGACTGGGCCGCAAGACCACTGTTGTTGTGTCACATAATGAAGGGTAGTAATTAAACAGAAGTATCGAGTATTTATTTATGGGAATGCCCACAGTGCATTGGCACTTTCCAAAGGGAGAAGGAAGCATCATGCCCCCTCTGAAGAAATCACAGTTTAAGGAGCAGGATGCGACACTAAACACAAATGAGAAATTATTCTAATTTCAGCCAGCATGCCTTGTTTGCCCCTTACTATTTTTTGACCTCACTGTTAATATGACAGTTTCTTTGTTGTTGTTAATAGAAAGCAAAAAATGAAGGCTTAAAAACCCTATCGTACTGCACAATCGGTGACTATGTTCATTGAGAATAGCTATAAAGCCTTAAACAAGCCCTCTATTTTGTGTTTTAAGAAGTGTCATAAGGAGTTAATAGGACACAGCTGTACAGGCTCTTTCTAATAAGCAGCTTCTGTCGCTTTGGTCACCACAGGTGTCTCTGTAACCTGCAAACTCTTATTACTAGTGTATCAAAGTTGTGCTACTTAATAGATTTCTTTAGTAAAACACAACAAAGCAATTACATGGCTGTTGATCGTCAGTCATAAAAAACCCCTCAAACACAGTTTTTCAAAAGAAACTACACTGCAATTTTTTGTCATTGTAAAATAAAAGAAACTAGAGAATTAAATAGAAAAGCGAACAATAGAACAGCAGGTAGTCAACTGAACTTAGCCACTACAGATGGTTTAGAAATAGTGTTTCCTTCTACACCAACTTGTGGGATAAAAGAAAAGGAGGAGGCTCCTTACTGCCCATGAATGGCAATACCAAAAGACTTAAGCAACTTTCCAGTCTATGTATTTGGTCCCATGAAAGAACCTAGATGTTTCTTTTTCCTCTCTCTCTCTTCTCTCTCTTTTCTTTTTTAAAAAAACTTTTTATCTGTTTTTGTGACTGCTTTTTTCCATAATCTTTAACTCTTCTCTAGAGTAACTTAAACTAGGAACATAGCTGCTGATTCATCCAATGACAAAATGCAGAAGGTCGAGTGAGGAATTCCGGTGAAACACAAGTGTCATTTAAGAAGTGTATTAGAAAAAGAGATTGTTCTGTTCTCCATGCCCACTTTCAGTAAAGAAATATTAACTATAATTTACATATTTAAGAATTGGAATGCACGAATGGATATTCTAGCAAGCCACAAGAGAAAGAAACATAAATATGTACGTTTCATTGTTCAGTAATCAATGGAATTGTGTAAAAAAGTGACAACGTTGTCCCAGCCCAAATGACTGTTGCGTCTTTGGTACAAAAGTTAGAATAACTCTCATTATAGTAATATATGCAAGACATTATCCTGGCAAGCAGTTGTCTCCTGTGTAAATAAAGGTGATGAAATAAGGTCCAAGTTAGAAAACAAACAAGTCTGATTTCTAAATATAATAAGTATAATCATAAAATCATTATTTTCAATAGATTATGATCAACTGATAAATAACTAAAGGAGAGAGAGGTCTTAATATAAAGATAAGAAAATTTGTTGCTAACACACAAAAGATGTAGAAGGAAGTGGAATCCACAGTTTTTTAATTTCTTTACTCATCAGCAAAATGATGGCCTCTCTAAGACATAGGATAGTTTTTATTATATTATAACCTATCAAAATATCTGAACATTACCAAAGGAATGTTCTCTAAGAAAATTGTAATTCAAAAAAGTTCATATGAATTGCAAGCTTCTAATTTTTTGCATAATCTGTTTTTAATATTAATTTATCACACAAATGTTATTTTTAAGAAGATTTTCATTAACAACAGTAGTTATTATCCCAGACAGTTCTAATGCAGTTACAGCTACGTACATACAATTAGTGTCACATAATATTATGGCACTGCAACGCAAAACTGTGAAGACATGTTCCTAGAACTGTTTGCAAATTAAACTGGGAAGGAAAAAAACAAAACAAACAAACAAACAAAAAAACAAAAAAAGAAATAATTTCTTCAACTATTTTTTCCTGTACAGGAATACGAAGTCACTTTGTAATGAAAACAAGGATGGTCCAATTCTCGGTGAACGTCAGCCAGCACAGCTTTATTGATCAGCTACAAACGAGCATGAAGTTTTTAGTTCAAATAGATATCAAGCAACAAAAGATTTGATACACAGAGGTAAGGGTCTTTCTTGAGAGAAAAGCTGCTTCACTCACAGTCCAAAGAGTCTTACCTTGCTCTATTGGCTTCTTTTGTCATGTCCCATGCCCAGGTTATGAAGTTCTGACTCAGATAGGAGACAATAGATTCAGCACAAAGCATTTGTGAGCAGAAGACGTTGGTTAGTACACTTTCATCATGGTGGAGGTAGATAGCAAGAAGCTTTCTCTAAAAAGACACAAAAGATCAGTGAAAACTTTCTGAGGCTATTTAGTAATTTAAAATTACTGCTGCAGATTTATGTGTTGGTACACCTTATGGTGTTTATTGAGGGTGCCGAGTATCTCAGCATGCACACAGAGGGGAAAAAAACCCAGTACATTTCAAGTCAAATGGCTCATCCCTCCAAATCTGTAAATCTTCTCAATGCTTCCTAATATTTTATTTTGGGTACCAAAACACGATGTATTATATGCTTAGAACATGAAAATAACAACATTTGAATGAAAAACAAAACCCTTATTAAGACTTAGCTTAAGAAATGAGTGAACTTTTTTGGCTTTCTGCCCAATAAAGATAACACTTGGAACAATTCCCTGAGCAAGGAACACACCTCTTGACACAACAGCATCTACAATACAAAGCAATTATAAACAACCTTAAAAAATTACAGTATATTGTTATCAACCCATCTGTAGCCAAATAAAGAGGAAAATGAGTAAGTAACAATACAGCTGCCTACAGTCCCAAAGCCTGCAATGCTACATGCTGGATGTTTTAGCAGCTCACCATCCAGTCATACGATGTGAGGAGGCCCACAGCACATCAGCCTCTCACCTACTTCGTAAGTCGATGTGTAGCTGGTCAAAAGCCCATGTGTCGGCCCAGTTGGCTACATCTCTCATGGAGCTGAGGAGCAAGGGAGCTGCCCCAGTACTGCGAATGTGTAAGACGCAATGGAAGGGGTACGGGAGACATAGATCAAATCTCACGTTAGGTTTGTGAGCGCTGATATGCTCATCGTAGTTACAATGTTAGCAAAGACTAGATGTTGTCTGTGGCCTCTTGAAACAAAATATTCCGTGCCATGTTCTTCTGAAACCCTGTCAAGTAATATTTGAGCTTCACTGCCAGCAGGATAGAGCTGTGTTGTGTCCCCATGACACTCTCAGACCACCTTTTGGAAAGTCAGTCTATGTGTACGTAAAGATAGAAAGCAGACTGAGAAAAACACGGGGAAGCTATGAGCTAGTTAAGGACCATGATCCTATATCTGGTATGCAATGAATTATAAATACCATTCAGAAAATTACAACTTTCCATTCCCCCATACCCATATATATTACTTACTTTATTTTAAAATCCTACTTGAACATATTTGCTGAGACAATACGGTAAATGCTATTTTCAGACTTTTATTTAAAATAATTTCAAATCTCTTCACCAGAAGTAACACTGAACACTAGATATTGATGTGTATTGATATAGCAAGACATTGGATGCAATTTTGAGACAAGCTGTCTTTGTAAAAAACTTGTATGGCTATCACCTCATATGCTGGTTTTGGACAAAACTTAATGACTGTTTATAAAAAGAAGAATACATTTGAACATTAGACTTTGGGAAAGGGATTAGTAATTTGCATTAATGTTTGTCTAATTTAATTTAAATGTGCTTCAGAACCACGTACACATGTGCCAGGAAGGGCCATTAATAAGCCCAACATGCAGAGATCCACATAAGTGCAGCCAACAATGTTGACTGAAACTAAACTTGAAAATCCAGGGCACTGATGCACAATATCAAGCAATAAAACAGCATTTCTGTGGTGATATTTAATTTAAAAAGAAGAAAGAGGCAGGGGAAGATCAGGCACTGTCTTTTTTTAAGGATCAGCCATTCTGCATTTCAAAGCGTCGATCCCTGCAATATCCAGGTTACTGTGCTAGAATCTCGACTATTATATAGCAGTTGTAAGAGAGGGAGGGCAAAGATGTGTTTACTCAGTGATTAGGGCCTTAGAATAAGCCTCTAGCTCCTAGAGAGACAGCTCACCACTTATTCATTTGGACCAATTCACAAAGCCTAGAAAGATTAAACATCCATGCTGAGAAGACAAGCGAATGCAGACGGTGAAAAAGAAATAAAAATTCTTTAAAAACTCTGAGATGACTTCATTATTTTTTCCACAAGGAAACTTTAGGAAAGTGTTTAGTTAGAGAAAAACCCACATTGACCTCTCTCTAAACCCTTAATCTTTCCTTTGTGGTGGCACTGCTTTGTGGTAAGCGGATGGCTTTGCTCTCCTCTTTTCACTGGGAGCGGATAGAAAAAAAGGCTCTTGAGAAACACTTTTACTTCCAAAGAAACAACCCCATGAAACTGTTAAATATGAGATTCCATACAACGGAATGTTTCAAAATATGTACAGTTTTAGGCTTAAAGATTTAGGGACAAATTTTAGTAAACAGAACAGGCACATACACAATAGATGTTTACACTGAGCTACTTTACAAGTGAATGTAATTTTTGTTGCATCAACAAGTCTCACCATGCAAAGACTAAACTCCATCACATATAAAAGACTCAACTGGTGTCTGATAATTCATCCAAAATGTTAAGGTCAGGCATAGGCGTACTGCTAGGACAAATGAAAAGAGGCAGCAAGTGCTAAAATATGATTTTGAAAAATCTTAGTGGAAGTCAGGGATATTTTTTCCTTGGAAAAATACATTATTGCAAAAGGCTCACAGCTTGGAGTTTGTTGTTGCCGCTGTTGTTTTGTGGTTTGTTGTTGGGTTTTTTTTGTTGTTGTTGTTGTTTTTTAATTTTTTTACTAACCCATGGTAGTATATATTTATAAGCAGGTTTTTGTTGTTTTTATTTCAAGTCTTTGAATCAGGATTCTATGATGACTAATACTGGGAATTTTTTAGTCAATACTAATAAAAAAGGCTTACTAAACTGTTGAACAGTCTTGACTTCCATAAAAGAAGTCTACTAATGCAGCAGTAGTCTGCTCTGTGTTGGATTTCTCAAAAATATGATGACTTAGGAGTTACATGCTTAGCATAAAATTTTAACCAAGAAAAAAATCTGATGGGGAAGAACTTTTACTAGTCCCTGTGAAGGTATGGGATACTGTAAAGGTTCTAAGTACTGAATAGCTGATGGAATTCCAAAGGCCTTAAGGACTTCAGGAACTTAAGCCATCAAGAGATGTATTTTTCACAGTAGGTGGATGCTGAAGACCAGGCAGTCATACACTGGAATTTTCAGAAGGGACCTGGATTTACAAACATACTCGGGAGTGTAAGTCTCATCAATGTCAATAAGACTTAAGGTCCTAAAAGCTTGAACTCTAAGCTCCAAGGGTCATTTTATTTCAGAGGAAAAAGGGCCACGAGAAAGAGGTGCTGTTTTCAGCATCTTGGCTATCTAAATACTTTAAAAAATCCAGACCTCTAGCATTTTTTTCTGCAACCTCTCTTGCATGCAGACCGCATGAGACTCAGTTAGCCGTGCCTCTGCTCCCTTGCCTCACACCCACCGCTATGTATTTGCAGCGACGCGCTGCAGGCCTCTCCTGCCTGATTTTGATCTGTTGATGGAATATGCCTGGCATGTGGCACCTTGGAAGGAAACATGGGCTGTAGACGGACCCCGTACTGCAACAGGGCAGCCCCCTGAGAGGCACAGTCCTCCCGGCTGTAGCCTTGCACCATGAAACCTCTCTGCCACATCAGCCGAAGAACAGCAGCCTCCTGCCACATAAACTGATGCACTTGACCAAGAGATCTAACATGCACTTACAATCCCACACATGAGACAAACACATTAAAGATCTGTCCTACATACCAAAATGGCTATGCCATCCACCCGGCCATTTTTGCATTTTGGAACTTCAGAAAAGTTAATGCATTTTGTACAGAATTAGAAGAAATGAAGGAAGGGCTGGCACTGAGGCAGAAAGGAACACAGATCTTCATGAGAGAGTTCATGAGAGATCTTTATAAGCCAGTTCTTAATAACATGAATAACTTCGATACCTCAGAAGAATATGAACTAGAATGAGAATAGTGATGCAGTCATAAGGGTCAGCAAAAACACAGACCTGAATGGTTATTTTTGAATCTCAGGTTCACAAGTTCAAGCAATAATTGAAACAAAAATGTTCACAATGTAACAACTGCTAGAGGCATGAATGTTCTTTCAAGCTGGTAGACTAACGAATCTTCATTTTTTCCTCCAGGTTTTATGTAGTGAGATCTAATTTAAATGAACAAAGGGACACATTTGTACACCTTTAAGCCTTCGAAGTGTACAATTTGATCCACCTCTCTAAGGTGATCTTGGAGATCATATGATCAGCCTTCTTGGACACAGCTACTCTATCACGGACGATCTTTTTTCCTTAAGCAGAATGCAAACCTTCTCTAACACCAAGGTGATCTGAACTAAACTGTATCCCACAGGTTCCTAAAGTGAGAATGAGATGATTCCTGTAGTCTTCTGATCTGGCCTTTTGTATTATACATAGCATAAGATATCCCTACACTAATTCCTAATTTAATCTTTCAGTAATTTTATTTTTCAGTAAAACATCTAGTATCAAAAAACCATCAGTGACGGAGAATCCATATGAACCACGGTAAGCTGTTCAAATGGCTAACCACTCTCCCAGGTAAAGCAGTGTTTTATTTTAAGCTTGAATTAGTCTACTTTCATCTTCCAAATATTTGATCTTATTATACTGTTGTATCTCTGTTTCAATCAATTGAACTTGCTGTGATATCTTATATAATGCAAAGAATATCCAGTAATTAAAACCAAACTCAAACAAGATCTACAAACCATAGGCTTTGAAAGAGGAGGAGTGTGGCAAACAATTTCAATAAACTTTCATTATTTAATACAAAGTACAGAGAATGCTGAAGAGAGACGCATACCCAGGACTAATCTTTCAGATATGAAAGATGAAGCAGAATGAAGGGTGTATAGGAACACAGCGAGACTACTAAGCTGGTATGTTAGAACAAAAATTTCTAAACAATAATTATCCACAAGTTCAGAATTAATTTGAGAATGAAAGGGCAGAAATGCTAACACAGACATATCAGGCAAGACTGGAAAGAAAATGTAGGTGACTAACACGGGACTTAACTGGAATTTATGTACTGACATCTACCATAGTGTAGCTGCTTTACTCTTCCCAGGAACCTCAAGTTATACTTCTATACCTCTCCTCTACAGTTTCATCCAGACCATGTAGATTAGTGTTCAGATTATTTATGTTTAATCGCAATCTGTGAAGTAGTAATTTCTCCATCTAGGACGCTCAGGGAGCTGAACTACAGATGCATTTTCAAAGCACACCTAGGATACACAATATGATCAAGCCCCTTATAAAATATAGGACTAGCAATTTGACTTGATTTGAAAAGTGCCTGGAGTCAAAGTAAAAGGTGGTGGTGAAGCTGTACTCCTTGACATCACTCCGTTGTATTTAGGGAATAAATGGGAGAAAAAAAGATGACGAAGACTAAACCAAAAAGCTGTCCTGCAACTGGGATTCAGAACAACCTCTCTTCTCTACTCAAGGTAGCATCTAAAAGACAGACTTTAAATTTCTCTCCTGAGACAAGAGTAGTAGTCAATGCTGTTTCTATAATGTGCTCTAACAGAAATCAGAATAATTATCTCTGTGAATCTTTCTTGCGTATTAAGTTCAGCATGAACTTAATTAGCAGAAATAATAACAAGGGACAGTTTTCTGAGTTACATAGATAAAAATGATACTACAGAAAGCCCTGTATGAAGGAATATTCTGCTACCACCAGGAATAAAAAAAAAAAAGCTTTTATTTGAACATGCCAAATCATGGAAGGAGCATATTTTCTTCTAGGTATTCAGGAAATAAAGTACCCATATGTGAGAGGGATGGTGCTGCCACTAAATTGAACCTAAAAGAAAGAATTCAAGGAGAACAAAAACATGGTTCATTTTCAGTATGCAGGAATATATATTGAGATGACAATACCAATCTGTGCTAAGAGAGATGTTTCACATATTTATTAAAAGTCAGTGGACAGAAAGGTTGAGAGAGGAGCAGGAGGTGATCTGACAGAGGTATATAATGATAAGAGCTCCTGAAAAGGTAAAGCAGATGTCTTTATTCTTTCTCATAATAAAAAAGTAGCAACAACCTATAAAAATGAAAAGGCAAACAAGCTCCAATAAAAGAAAATACTTTAGTATTATTCAAGAAAATAGCTCAGTGAGATTCAATATAGCAATTAAGATCCTGTATTAATAACAATACCACCCTAAGTTAGGATAACCTCCTTGATGTTTCAGAACACAAGGTGCCCAAAAACTGCTTTCAGTTGCAAAGAAACATCCCCCAAACATCTTGTTTAAAACTGCCCATTATAAGATTTCTTCCATGGCATCAGGTCTAGCTATTTCTATGGTAGTGCAGCTACTCGAGCAAGAGTAAGCTTGTTCTTCATAAACTAATGTAACGGAGAAATGCTTCTTTCCAATTGGCACAATAAGTAGAGGAAGACTTTCACGAAAGAACAACTTATTTGTTAATTTAATAAACCTTTGTCTCTCTTTCTTTTCCTGACCCCATTAAAAAAAAAAAAAAGAAAATATTTTCCTGTGTTATATATACAATAAGACTTGGAAATGAACAATGCCCTTAACTATCAGGCTGCAGGAGGTAACTTGGGATTTCATTACCAAGGACACCGGCTGTTAAAGGCAAAGCTCTGTATCTTGGCTATTGTATTTTTGTGCTAAAGAGATGTACAGGTTTTAAAGTAGAGCTACATTTGACCTCATTCCATCTCTCCTACCCAAAACTGGCACTATCATGGTAGCAGTTGCTCTAAAGGAAAAAAGATACCCATCGTGTATGTTAATCTTAACTATCTGTGCTGGTTTTGACTGGGATAGAGTTAATTTTTTCCATATTGGCTCGTATGGGGCTATGTTTCGGATTTGTGCTGAAGAAGTTGGGAGGGGGCACAGCCAGGACAGCTGACCCCAACTGACCAAAGGGGTACCCCACACCATGTGACATCACGCTCAGCAATAAAAAGCTGGGGGAAGGAGGAGGAAGGCGGGGATGTTCTGAGTGATGGCATTTGTCTTCCCAAGTAACCATTAGGCGTGATGGAGCCCTGCTTTCCTGGAGATGGCTGAACACCTGCCTGCCGATGGGAAGGAGTGAATGAATTCCTTGTTGTGCTTTGCTTGTGTGCGCGGCTTTTGCTTTACCTATTAAACTGTCTTTATCTCAACCCACAAGTTTTCTCACTTCTACTTTTCCGATTCTCTCCCTCATCCCACCGGGGTGGGGAGTGAGCGAGTGGCTGTGTGGTGCTTAGCTGCCGGCTGGGGTTAAATGACAACACTATCTACAGACTTGAAATGAAAGCTACGATAATAAAAGCTAAACAAAACATAGGTAACAGACAAACACCTAAACTTTTTTTACAAGGCATTTCTTTTTCAAGTAACATTTTCTTAAACAACTATGAATTACCATCCTTTCCAACACATGAAAAGACAAGACATTAAGATTTAACAGAACAACATCTATTTTCTTAAGAAGAATTTTAACCCATAATCTGTGCTTAAAACACATGTTCTTACATAAGTTAATTTTCTTAAAATAACCCAAATTAAAATATTTCTGCAAAAAGGCTTCAAGTTCATAGATAATGGGATTTTTTGGAAGGAAAAAGTATCCACAATATGGATTAAAAACATAGCTGATGGCTGTCTCACTAGACCTCAACTGTAGAGTGCACCTTCTGCTCTGGACAGCGTTGAGAATTTGTCAAGAAAAGGCTAAGATCTCTGAGCACTCAAGCTGCCAAGTGCTCTCAAATTAAATCAGTTTGAAGCGGTTTTCATTAAGATGGATTGAGTGTGGCATCGTGAGAAACACTCTATCAAATGTAGTGTTTTACTTAGTGATTAAGTATATACCAGTTGATGAAGCTACCCAAATCCTTCGTAATCCCACCACTCCAATAAACATTTAATGAGTATATAAGTTCAAAAAGCCTAGCAGAGGATTTAAACCTTCAATCTTGTTTTTATTTACTCTTGGAACTCAATTTCTCACTTCAAGTGAAGAATGCTGGTGCCTGAAGCTCATCTGTTGCCCTGGTAAAATTAAGTGCCCTCCATAGTATAAATTAGAAGGCAATACATACAGGTTGCAATTTCTCCTAAGCTTTTTTTTTTTAATACTGATATACATGTGGAATTATTTTATGAAATGCAATTATAAAAATATAAAATAACGTAACCCTTTCCTCAATTATGAATTCCAGGAGGCAGTACTGAAAAAACTTGTTTGTAACAGGAAAAAAGCAGTAAAAATAAATGGTATTTATACATTCTCATACCTTTGTTTGAAGTTAGAATATTACAATAAAAATAATGTCATTCCACAGGGTAGTTGTGGGAGAGAGCTTTCAAAAATTAAGGCAATATTTGGAAATAAAATAAAGAAAAAAGCCACAAAAATAATACTTTCCTAAATATATAACTTTATCCTGATGAGGATCTGGGCTGAATACATTGCAAAATATCAGAAATGTAAGGCGACATGAATTTCAGATGTGCTATGTAAGTAGTATAAGAAGTACTTTGAGTATTAAAAAACTAAGTAACCGCACTGCATTAATATCAGATTTATAGATACAAAAAATATTTATGAAAGCTCCTAATGGGGTCTCATCCATTATTATACTGATACACTGTCAACTGTTTCTGATGAAATGACACAAAGTGAACTTCCTAACTCAAACACTTTTCTTGTTGAATTAATATGATTTCTTTTAAACATGCATTAAGGTCCACTTTAACAGTTATTATAAAGTAATACTTTGCCACTGAATTATTATGTATCCATTTATGCTCTGAAATCTGCACAAAGACATGAAAATATTCACTAGACTTAGACTGTGCACACATGTTAATTATGTGTTAACTTAAGCTATACAGTGTAGATTCATAACACTGCACACTTATCATAACAGCCTCTGACATAACAGAGCTGTTCCTTCCAATATGAATAACTACAGGGAGCCAAAACATTCTTCATTTTAAAATTAAATATCTATCAAGACAACAAAAAGTAAATTTAAACAGCATGATTTTCTTGTTTGTGTTTCAGCTTTATCTATGCTTAATTATGCAGGGGTTTGGGTTTCTCCTTAGTGAATTCAAGTCACCAAAACTTAAATAAACTATCCCCATTCTAATTTTATTAAAATACTGATTTTAAAACCGTGCATGGAATAACAGAAACTTGAGATGTCTGGCTGGATGTACAGAAAAACTAAATAACCAAACCTTAGTACTGGAATTTACTTGGCAGATAAAGGCTGTACAAAGGAAAAAAAAGCGCACTGTATTTCAGAGACCTTTCAATTTAAATTTACAATTTCATTAGCCATCCTTCAAAGGAGTTACCAACATGCAACATTGAACTTGTCAACCATCAGACTCACAGCCAGTGTTATGTGGTGCTCGGACACCATTATTTCAGGAAGAAAAGGGAGACGCAAAAAAAAAAAAAAAAAAAAAAAAGAAAAAGAGTAGCTCTGATGACTAAAGGACTCCAATAAAAATACAGCCTGAATAATTAGAAAGCATGAGTTATTCGAGTTATTCACTGTAATTTCAACAACAACCAAGGTTAAGTATTTTAGCCAGTCAGCTAAATGAGTATAACTCTTCAAACAGTAAAATCAAGATAACTCCAAAATGTAGTTTATCTTTTTTAAAATAAAGATGAAACATTTACAGTTATTTTAATTTCCCCCTCATGTTAAATAAAGTAATTTTAATACACACTTACATCTCTAGCTTTCCCATAGAAGGCTTCTTGAAAAGCAGCCTCTAATGATCCAATAAAATAAACAGGATGGCAGTCACCGTATCTATTGGAGATAAAATTTCCAATTAATAAAAAATTATGAAAATAAGTAATTTCAATATTCTACCTCTTCATATATTCTGTAAATATAATGCATTGGCTAAACTTTTAGAAAGATGAAGTACTACGCTTCTAAATATTTCCCTTTTGTCCTTTAAAAGACATCTGTCCCACAGCATTCAAAAGCTCAAAGTAACTAACTACTACCTTACAAATTTTATCGTAAAAAGCTTTCTGTTAACATACATAGACACCTTAAGTGCTATATAATTTTTCAATCATTACTTATTTCCTCTCTTTATTATATTCTTAAAGGTTAATTGAAGGCTATTCTTGTATTACACATTAATGCATCTCATATATATAAATGAACATTTCATCATAGAGGAGTGAAAACAGAAGTCATATAAACTTTGCATTACTTTGCAGTATATTAGTTTGCAGCTTCTACCTATTTGATGAGACATGGCAACCGTTTTACAATGTATAATTTGGTGGTAGAAAGTTAAAAAACCCCAGCATTTCTATATTTTTTAAAAGCAGAGATTTATCCAACCACTTCATTATTGTGAAAACTCTTATTGCAACTCTCTATTTTTTAATATTAATCAGCTTCAGCTTTTCTGTTCCTCTACATCATATTAAAATTACTATACATAATCAGAGTCTTTATCATCCTTCTGGACCTTTACGTAATTAAGTAATTATATTAATTAGTGGCAAATTAAATAAGGCAAGAATCTGTCACTCTAACTTGGACTGAGAAATATTTTATTTCAGAAACAGTTCTAACAGAGTTAATCTTAAAATAAATTAGATTAGGATGCCTAAATACGGTATGATCCCACAAGAAAATATGTACATTTGGTTTATTTTTATTTTCATTATTTACTAAATTTTACTTAGTTTGTAACAAGAATTGCACAGTTAATAGGCTAGGCTTACCTTGAAGAAAATTCAGCTGTAAATTGTAATAAGGCATCTCCTTCATTTTCAGCATTTTCTGGCACTTAAAAAAATGAAAAATACAAATTAAATGCAACCTTATGGAAACAGATTTTAATACGCGAACTCACTTTGCTTCATGGATTTTTTATGTTGACAGCTTACTGAAGTGGTTACCAAGAAACCACATAAATTTCATGAAAGACTATCAACTATGAACCTTTGGAAAGACATGAAATTTCCAGAGGCTCTCATGAATATATTCAGGATTTCCAAACAGTAAAATCCTCAGGTCCAGTGTAATGTGATATATCACTTGTTCAGAGTTAACACTCTGGACTTACTTTAATACATCAACATTAAAGGACTGACTTGAAAGCCTTGACCCACTATATTGCTAGATACTTTTCCTTTCTTTTTTTTTTTTTTAAACTTCCTATATAATGTGTAATAATACAGAAAACTTTTTAACATAAAGTTGCTGTCAAAAAACTTCCAAGGTAATACGCAAACCAAAAGTAAAGAATATACAGAATTGCATATAGGAGGTAACTGACTGCTCCTGTTCAATCCTTTTCATAATTCAAGGGCAAATAATCACTGAAAAACTTGTTTAACGTAAACGACCAAAAATATTAATCACCACAAGATGCTGAAGCTAAAACCTGCAGAATTTTCAAAACAGGGAAGCAGAAATCTAGTTATCTACAGAAACATTTGGTTAGAGATCATAATTTCTCTGAGTTTAACTATAGTTCTTCAACTATAAGCTAAAAACATCAGGTTAAAAAACTTCCTCCATGGGGAGATGCTTTCATAGTTGCCAATTATGTTTGCAGTATTTTCATTTGATACATCTGTCAGACGCGACACACAAACAATTCTAACATTCCTATCAAAAGATACTCTCCTGTTTCTTATTATGCAGACCCATCATACCTCTCTCCCTTCACTCCTGCCGTACAATCACAAGTTAATTGTAAATTAACTGGCAACTCTTACTCATTGGCGATTTCCTCAAGGCAGACGATGCTACTCCAAACATTTCTCCATCATCAACTCCAAACTCTGTAGCATCTTCAAAGTCATCTCCATCACTGTCACTAACCATATGAACATCAGTGCATTGCTATATAAAAAACAAAAACCAAAATCCACCATAAGCCTCCATTACAGACATCATCTTCAGTGAAATACGAAATAAATACATAGTATAAAATACTTATTTCTATAAAAACACTTGATATACTACATTTTATTTTACTATTTTATACAGCATTATCAGACTGCTTTTTATAAATAAGACCTAATTTTTAACAGAAGTCTGGTTGACAGAGCAATATTATGTGACAAAACGCATTATTACATAACGAAGGAACTGTCTCTGTATACACATAGTTGAGTGAATTTTTTCCAAAGTTAATGCTATTTTCCATTTAACGGTACTACAGCTAGTTTAACTGCATAAGAAAGAGTGAGAAAAGCCACACAATCTATCAATAGTTTTAGACATCCAGATACAATCTACTTTAGCAATACTTGCATGGTGGGGGACAGTCCTTGGGAAGGTACCTATCTATTGCATTGCAGTCTCCGACTTGCAAATTTAGCACCCGTAGTCCTAACATGGCACACCAGACTACTGCATGTTGAATGACAGGCTGATTTATTTGGCATACCAATATAAAGGAGAAAAATCAACATTTTTGTGCAAGAAGCTAAGGTCCTATCTGTGCCTCCAACTCCCAATAGTCAGATCTTTTGGATTTCATGTCCTCTGAAACATAAAATAGCTCAGAAAACCTTGTTTTGAACTATTCAATGACTTCTTTTCATGAACAACTATTCCAGCTCCACTTGACCTAGGAGTTACAGTGGTAGCACACTACAGAAAATTTACATGAATCCCTCAAGGTGCAACAAAGCATATTATGGAACGTGAGATTTCATCTGTAGCATGGAAGTGACCACAAGAGGAGCAAAGAGCTCCAGGCATGATGGATCTCTCTCTACAACAGCTACACATTAAGAACTTCAAATAAAGACCATTTTTTGAATGAACGAGTCCACAAGAAAATTCTACGAGGTGGACAAACTCAGATAATTCTGAAAGAATGAAGTAAAGAAGCAATGATACAGTTATGCTGGCAGATCCCAAGAGAAAACAATAACCATCTATGTAACCTGCTAAGTGGTTCAGGTATAGCTAGAACAGCATTGTTTCACCATCCTCTAATTTTTAACAACTATCCAACAGCATATATCCAGGCTTGCATCCTGACCATACCTCATGGCTACATCTTGCCAAATCGACTGAACTGAACAGATTGAAACATATCCTTTTTGTGCACCAAGATAAACCTTATGTGCTAAAGTTCTCTACATAAAATGGTAAGAAAAGTTTGTGGAAAATGGGAAACTGCTTATATTAAATTAATTTTGAGGAAGGACAAAGGCATTGGAAATTTTAACCCAAACTATTAATAGTTAGAAACAACAAAATGAGAGTTTATACCATCTCCAAACATCTCTTTCTGCTAATCCTAAAAATATATGTTTCAGCCTTCTGTTTAATTTGGAGTATTTTTCAATGCTTAGTAACTTGTGGCTTGCTTACGTTGTTTTTCCTCTTTTTCTTCAATGACTCATTTACCCAGTTCCTTACTTTGTCACAATCACATGTAACAGGAATTGTAAACTGATTCTTTTAAGATGCAATTCTACTGACGTATTTGACGATAGAAGGGACTGTGACCATGGCAAAATGAGCTTTCCCTGCTTCTTCCTAGAGTATACTTGTTAAAGATGTTCTTACCTCCTCTGACTGTTCCCTCGTTTGTATGGGTGAAGATCTTCTTCCAACTGTAAGTCGATGGCAAGGAAAAGTCAGTCCCGATACAGCTAGAGTCATCTACAAACAAAGCAATGATCATTTATTAAAGCCATAATCTCAATTGAGGGATGGTTTTGTTTTTTTTAAGGGTGCTTTGAGATTCAAATTGAAGACTGCATTGCAGAAGACCAAATTAATTATACAAACATAAAGAAAGAAGTCTGGAAAACTAAAATGATTCCTTATGTAAAAATATTCAAAGAAACAACAATGGAGTTTTACAGGTATGTATGCAGAGAGTATCAAAACAAACTAAATGGAATTGCAAACTCAAAACTGCCTTGAATTGCTATTATCTCCTAAATCGGTACTGAAGTCTAAACCATTATTTGTACATGATAACTTTTACGGTGGTATCCCTTGATGAAGTAAACGTAAATTTTTCCTTCCTACTCAATAAGCAAATGTTAAAGTGAAGATGATAGGTACTGATACAACTAACTAAAAACAGTTAGGTCATCTTGAAAAAAAAATTAATTATCTTGAAAGAACAGTTTATCGCCAGACATTGTAAATGACACAATCACAGTGGCTACTTTAAAAACACATTTCATCTCCATCTTGGTCATTATTAATGTCAAAAGCACACGCCATGTTTCTCACATGAACGAGGACATACACAAACCCAGCAATGCTGGTGAAATTGCAGTCAGCAAAGACAGGATAGATGTTCATTAACCAGTGCCAACAGGAACAGCACTTTTGCCTGTTGCTGTATTCCTAAATCTCAACTTTTTAAAACTAACAGGACAGCAAATGGAAAAAAGCTAGCGTCATTTGAAAGACAAAATTATTAGATGCCTGCAAACACACAACAATAATATTTGAAGATCTGAGCCTACATTGCATTTAAAAACATAGTAATCGATACGACTAAAAATGAGAATTGTCCACTCTTCTATGATCAGAACTGTCTGTGCCATCCTTGCGTTTCAAGCACCCTTCACACACTTCTCTATACCGCATAAGCATACACCCGGCCTACTGCCCTCTTCTGGAAAGCGCATCAGTCCTGGTCAAGTGAGGTTGATGACCACAAGTAGAATCTTCAGAAGCACCTAAGCCCTATCTTGATACCACATGGGCTAAATTTACAATGTGAATAGCTCTTAAATAAAGATAGCCAATTCATTTTGGCAATGACAAAATATTTGATGCTGTACAATTCTTAGTGACATTGAGAAAGATAGTTCTGGCTGTATGTTTAAAATATTGTTTCTAATAGTTCCTTCAGAAGAAACACAGAGAAGAGAGAAGATTTTCTAGATCCTATAAAAATGATTACAATTTTTGCAGGGCACAGAATGAGACAATTATATGTTTCAGAAATACAGCATCCTCCTAATTAGACTGTAAAAACATTAAGGTAAAATAAATTTCAATCATCCTTAACAAAAACCCAAGAACAAATCATAAGCCTTAAATTTCATTTACTGCCATGAGCACTGGAAATACCCCATTTATTTTTATACATAATTCAGAATGACTTTATCACTTGTCTGCTAGAACTCACAAAGATTTAATTTGCTGCAGGTTGAAGCAGGCTGATTAAGCAGACTGGTTACCAAATGAATGTTAACCTGTCTGAACTAGCCTACTGTCACATTCTCATAGCAAGGTTAAACAGAAGTTTAGCTGCATAAAAAGCCTAGCTATCATCTTAAAGGAAGTGAGTAATAATACTCTGGAGCAAATGAAATATTAAGGATGACATACAGGTCAAGACCAATTACCTATGAAACTGCTGTGACAAGAGTGTAAGAACTGTATTGTCTGTAATAATCCACCAGTTTAATTAGTATTTTTATGAGATTTTAATAATAAAACTCAACTGTTATAAAACCTAAAACTTTGCCCTTTAGTTACCACACTATATAAAATACTGGTAAAACTTACACACGCGCACACTAACCACACACAGACTGAAGTTCCCTATCTAACAGCATCAAATACCCCGACAGATGCCTGGAAAGGCTCCTGATGTCTTTTACATACACATTAAAGAAAGAGTGGTAAGATCAAGCAAGCAGTTATTGCGCTGCTTTGTCACTTGGCCCAATTGCAGGGTGTTGCAATTCCAATTTGCAACCCTATATTATAGTGTCAAAGCATCTCTCAAAAATGAGCTAACAGCAGAAGGGGTTCAACATCAGAGCACATTTCACCCTACTCCCCAGACAGTTGCTGGAATGTTGGGTTTTTGTGCGCATTTGTGTGAGAAATCGCCCTCCTCTTTGGCTTTTTTTTTGAGACGTTTTTTGCAAAAGAAAGGCTAGGACAAATAGAAGCTCTGCCTTTCATGCCAAAATAATCCAGCAGGATGAACATTTCTCTAGAATTAAGTTATCTTCATTCTCAAGAGAGACTCTTGCACCAGAATGTTTAATCTGTATTTTGGAAACCATAAAAACATCAACACTAAGCAAAAGATTACTTTCCAGGCAGCTCAGTCCAGTGCCATGGATAGCAAACCTCAACTTTTATGAATATTTTGAATGCAGGCCCATTTACTGATGGGAGCATCCGCTGAAGCGTCTCAGTGGTAAGAATTGTTTAGATGTCAGGCTGCTCTTGGAGAGTTTTTTCTTTCTAAATATTGCATCTGCCTACTTCCAAACAGGGTTACAGTACATTAGATATACGAATCGCTGTGTTGCAGCCATCTTCCCATGGGAATGGACGAAATCTTTTTACCAACTCCAAAATGGAAAATGCTGGTTTGTAGCTTGAGTACCTGGTCACCCATATTCTCAACTTATGAACCCATCTGACTGGGTAAACACTCAAAAGTTACTAAGTTTTCAGAATATTTTTTCTTCTGCATGAAAATCACCGTTATGCGAGTACTATCACTTGAATCGGATGGCTTTCACGTGCACAAGAAGAGACGTTGAAAGAAGCATGTGCAGGACTCTTGTCACCAATAATGAGCTAGATATAGATTATGAAATAAATAATACATTAAAGCAAAAATAAATAAGGTTAGTCCATTTTTCTAGGTAGTAAATGTACACACGTGCAAACCCCTGCTCAAAAGGTCTCACAGCTGAAAGGTACATGAGGTGGAAAATGAAAAGGAATCAGAAATAGGCAAAATTACTTGCAAAAAGTAACTTAAGATGATTACTGAAAAGCCAGATCTCTTGTACGACACTGTGTATAGACTGCTCCTGAAAGTCGTCTCCTATTTGGCTTCCTATAGGTTTTTAAGGAGAAGGACAATAAAATTGAAGTCTTGAAAGATCCCAGGAAGAGTGACAGCAGGAGTGTCCTTTTAGGAGACAGCAGAGATATTGAACGGATTGCTACTGGTACGCAAAAACGTAATGGTATGACATGGACTAAAAGTGTACAAAGGATACTTGAAATATATTTTAGCTAGTAAAAGAAAGACCACTACCAAACCTTACAGTTTAGGGAGAAAAAAAAAGAGTCTAATGCTCACTTGTACTTTCCAACACTAAGACACTGAATTTAGTTGTAAATGTTTGGTGTAAGATGATTAGTATTTCAGTTGCCAGCATTAATAATTGGGGGATAAAGTTAAGCAACATCTTTTCTGATCTGAACATGCAGGATTCTTTGCCACGAACTTTCCAGATCAACCTAGAACTATTTGCCAAATCCAGAGTGAGACCAGGTACTTTAAACAATAGATTATTCTTCCTATTAGAAAATATCATTTTTATGTAGAAGCTTCTAGAAATATCCTTTAAAACAATCTAAAAAGATTCTTTTTTCAAATATTTCATGATACAAATATGTCTGCAGCACCAAAAGAAATAATTGAGAGCATGTAGCTCCAGAGTGCTGCCGTTGCACGTTCCGAATAATAGGAAAAATTATGAGTCCATAATCTCACAAGGTTGCAATCTTCTAGAAAGAGTTTGTTGGCACAACTTAATTCCCACTCTTGCAGACTTCTGAAATTACAAAGGAAGGAGAAAACTCATCTCTTGTACCAGTCCAGAGATATTTAATCAAGACACTGAAGATCTAAGAAAGATAAACAGTACTAGGAACATGAAGGAATGATAACCACCAGAGAACTGCAGCTGCAGAACTTTCTCCACTGAGAAATGTTGATACAAAAATTATAAGCTCAGTGTACTGCATCAGGAAAGTAGTAATTGGATATGACAAATTGGTGTTCCTCATATTCAGCCACACACTGATGGAAAAAAAACAGCACTTCAAAAGAGCTTCTAATGGCAACCGTGTCTAATGAGGAAAGTATGAAGGCAAGCTCTAAGAGCTTTCTAATACCTTATAGAATAGAGCTGGACATCCAAAGTGGCCAGCTTAAAGCAATAACCTGTAAAGAACTGGACCTTCTTCCTCATCCTCAACTATCACAGTCATTTTGGAAATGTTCACTCCACTCCATGTAAATACAGACACAAGTCTCTAGCAATCCAGTAATCTGAATAAAACACTAAAACAACTATTCTTGCCACTAAGCTGCCTGTATTTAAGTCAGAACATAAATTAGAAAATAAATTATGGTAGGAAAACAGGCAGGCCCTTGAAGCACATAATTTACAGACTTATCCATTAGGCCTATTATTATCTTCTCAGTGCTTATCGTTGCAAAGCATGGCCTTTCCAGAAGGATGAGATGGAGACTGACCTGCCAAATTGCCAATTGAGTCAGTGATCTTTAGTAGAACAGCTTCCATATCAGGTAGCTCTGGAGCAAATCAAACACCCTACCACAGTCATCAACAGCAGGAAACCTCCCCAGGAACTCCAGAGTTTCACAGGTGCAGCAGGCAAGGCAAGCCTGCAAAACATGTCACCTTGCAGGAGATGAGAGACACAGATATGTAATGGACCTGCTTTGGCATGAGTTGAAAGGTTGTACTGTTCACAGGCTACTTGTCATCAAGGGATCCCTTTTCTCTAAAAGGATGTAGCTCTTTTAACAAGAACCATTGAAAACAAGCAAACATAAGCGATAATGTTTAAGGAAAGTAGAAATATTGATTTATTTTGTGCTCTTTGTTAAGTATTTGCTT